GAGTTTATTACTCCTTATTCGCAACTCAAATGAACATGAGAAGGTGCTGCGGTGTTGCAGCATGGCGGATTCATGGATGTCACCGCGTCCGCTATCGCTAACACGAATGGTGAGTTTTCTGCACTGTGATTGCAGTTCGCGCTGCTTAGTAGAAGCGGAGTGGGTAGTTGACGCGGAGCATCTTACTTTAGTAGGCGCCAGTGGTACCGCACGCGCGAGCGGCGTTTTTGAAGTGGTCGCTTTGTGTGTATAATGCACATGGCGCACTGCGTCTCTGCGCGATTTGTTTACATGCTTCGTGCGCCGCAGCGACATTTAGTCATTGGATACAATGGTCATTTAGTAGGTTCGAGTTAAGAAGTTAACACTAGTGCCTCACCTGTAAAGAAGAAATCTGCTTGGTCGTTGATTTTTTTCTTCACGAGCGGAACCATCCTACCGTGCTTCTACCGTGCTTCTACCGTATACGACTGGCACTTGGACTGTTTGGAACTCAGCACGGAGCTTCCCTCTATTGCCACTAGGTGCCGCCTGCATTGCTGGAGGCGCGAATTGAGACCTTGTTTAGACCGACGAGCTGCGTGCTGCGTTACCTCGCCAATCACCTAGTTGACGTCACTGCGCGGATAAGAAGTTGGTCACGCGCAAAAAAAAAATGTGCAAGCTTTTTTTGGGCGTTCATCATCAGCATTGATTTTGTGAAACGATTGCCATTTTTTGACGCAGCGCCGTGCCGCCACTCTATGGGTAAAGAGAGAGCGCCACTTCACGTAGCTTTGATCCCTCTCTTCATAAGGAGAAGGTTTGGGGCCGCTTCCAAAAGCCATGCCCTGACGGGCTTCAACACGTACATGTGGTCAGGCATGTAGTCCATGTGATGTGCGTTATTCAATTTAAAGGGGACGTGCAAAACGTTCAATGCCATAGCGTTAAGGAGCTCGTTTCGCACAAATTTCCCCGTCAGCGTTGGTGTTAGTGTCGTTGTCGGTGTCTTTGGTTGGGAGCAACAAATTATCATCTTGTCTGTGACCGAGAAATTGAGAGAGAAAGAATAATGAAATAATACGAATTTCCTGGTTACAGTAAATATGGAGCCCAGGTGGCGTATGTGAAAAGAATATGTGTTTCACCATACAACAACGCGTCTGCTCAGAAATACAGTTAAAATATTTTTCTCGGCTTGGCATTGCAGAGGAAATAACAGTCGTGGTTAACAAACAAACGCGTTCTTTGTACAGGCTTGACAATAAAATATGCATTACTGCAGTGAAAGTGCGTGGTACAAGTGATCGGGTGTCAGAAAATGGGATTATCGTAAGTATTTCGTGGTGTAAAGCAGGCTACCAATAGCAAAAGGCACTCAGGTTACTGCACGTATTAAGAACACGTAGTGGGTGCATAGCAAGTTCGAAAACACTTCATGCGAGCTACATTGTCTAGAAATATACTGCCTAGTGTGCTGAGCGCGGGCTAGGAAATGGCCCCACAGCTGATGACTGCCAGCGGCGCCCGCATGGTGCGCTGCTGTGCGAGTGTGTGCATTTGCGTTCAATCCTTACGCTCCAAAAGAGCTGCGATGCTTTCAGGAGGCCAAGCTGCGTGAGGCCAACTATTATTTTCCGGCAATTTCGGAGTTTTTTTACATATTGCTTTATTGTAAATGAACTACTCGATGGCTTTCACTGTACTGGCGCTTTGCAATACCAAATGAAGATCATTATATCATGGCATACATTTTGCCACCCGCTACTGCCCACAAAAAAAAAAGAGGCAGATCCCACGTAACTTGGGAATCAATGCTATGCAAGGTGACTCTGTTGTAATTTTTATTAAGTGAAACATTATGAAGTGGCGTTAAATATATGCGAGAAATTGAATAATCAACACTGGAACCAGCATTGGTGTTTCATGAACATTCGGCTCTTCTTGCAAAGTATTTCGAAGACCTGGCGTGGCTCTGTAGTAGACTACTTGGTCTTCACGCAGATTGCTTGGCTTTGATTCCTCTGCTAGGACACAAACCTTTATTATTTGCATTCGTAGGGTGAACGTTGCCAATACCAGCTTGACGCTCACGCGTTAAAAAAAGATGTGGCGAGAAGGGTTTGATGGTGTACGTGACAGGAATGTGAAATTATTCATGTCAGGACGAGTGAGTCATATTCGTAAAACCATCTTACCCGCCGACACTAATTTTCGTTTACCCTACATTAAGGGGGTGATCGTGAGGGCACCCAGACGTAGGCGATTTGATAGATAGATAGATAGATAGATAGATAGATAGATAGATAGATAGATAGATAGATAGATAGATAGATAGATAGGCGGACGGACGGACAGAGAGACGGATGGATGAACACATGGACGGGGCGGACAGACAACCGACGGACGAACATACAGATGGACGGACAGACAGACAGTCAGACGGATGGACAGACAGACAGACAGACAGACAGACAGACAGATAGATAGATAGATAGATAGATAGATAGATAGATAGATAGATAGATAGACAGATAGATAGATAGATAGATAGATAGATAGATAGATAGATAGATAGATAGATAGATAGATAGACAGACCGACAGACAGATAGACAGACTGATAGGTAGATGGATGGACAGACATATAGATAGATAGATAGATAGATAGATAGATAGATAGATAGATAGATAGATAGATAGATAGATAGATTGATAGATAGATAGATAGATAGATAGATAGATAGACTAGACAGATAGACAGATAGATAGATAGATAAATATATACATATAGATAGATAGATAGATAGATAGATAGATAGATAGATAGATAGATAGATAGACGGACAGACAGATGGATAGATAGATGCTCAAAGTGGTTGTAGTACGCAAAGAAATTAATTTTGAAACGATTGACAGTATAACCACCAGAGTTATTTTTAAAAAATGTGCTTTGTTCTTGAGAACAAGAGTTATCACAGAAGACCCAAAAACCTTTACCTCTGAGCCTGCATTCCATTAAGATTCGAGTGAAAACAAATAATGATAACATGCCAATGAACAAGCAGACACTCGCCACCTATGATACTCAAAACGTTGTTGGAAAAGGAGTCCGATGTTCAAACGAGAGAAAAACTGTGTGAATAAAATTTGAAAGGGTATTTTCAATTTTTTAGATACATATTGATATTTGAAATTATGCCTAAACGGCGATTTCATTCCCGACACTTTTCACCCTAATTCGAAAAGATAGTTTGGTGGAGTCACTCTCAGAATGCTTTTCTCACACGACAGCCTTCGGATTCAGCCTTCTGTCTGCCCTTTTGATCCTACTTTTTCATTCAGGAAACCATGCTGGATCGGTGAGTGCGGGGAACAAGACAGCTTTTCCTTGTTCGACCGATACCTTCTTTGACACAGCGGCACAATACACGTCCTTTCTTTGCATTGGCGCTTAGCTTTTACCATCTCAGGGTGTTGCAGTGTACGTATGGTGCCGTCGAACTTCACAGTAAATCAGATGGCAGCTGTCACACACTGATTTTAAACGTGGCGAGGCTCCGGCAGCAACAGGACGAGAGGAATTTCACGCGTTCGTACACCCTCTCGACACGCAGCGCCACTTGTGGCATTTGAGTGCAGTTATCACATGCGGAGCCACCCTCTCTCGTACGGAGTGTGCGCGCTCACACACTAGCCAGTATATTTCTAGACACTATACGCGCATAACTGCTCATGGCTTAAAGCATGCAAACCTTTACACAGAACACAGCTATACGTGGCACAAGTTAACTTCAGCTTCGTCGATTATATTGTAGTAATTCATAAATTATTCTTCTCAAGTAACATCATACAACAAAAAGTGGGCACTAAGTGATTGAATACGCACCTGGAATGGGATAGTGCTATCGTATGCAACTCTTATAGTGAAGCCACAATTGTTTTTTCGGTGCCCAATGTACGGGTGCCCAAGTTTTTATTCATTTTTTCAACAGACTGTGTTTTTCGAAGAGGTAAAAAATTGCGAAGTGCTTCATTCTTAGTGTTTTGCAGAAAATTATAAAATAATTGATTAGTAAGTTTTTTCACAAAGTGCCTACATTGGTTTATGCGAAAAGTTATAAAAAATATTCATTGAATGACGGTACAAGCGACGTTGTAATAATGCGGTGACTAAATGGGAAAAATGACATTTTGACACATATTACGCATAGGTGACCGTAAAGTAGCTCTCTAAGCTGAAATATGGCTTAAACATCCGGTGTAGTACGCCTTGTTGCTTTAAGGGTGAAATTCCTAAAGGCGTAAGTACGTCCATCCTTTATGTATGTGCGTGACATCCTGTAATTACACCTATGCAAACTGTCCACTATTTTGTCCTTACAATCTTTAATTACACCCCAAAAACAATCTACCACTTCACCCACAATAAAGAAAATACTGTTGAAAAGTAGCCAATATGAAATTAAAGATGGTCATGTACTTGTATCCAGGTGCTCGATAAATAACCATAGATTATCCGACAGTGTCCATCCGTTGTTTTACGTGACCGTCTATAGTTCCATTTTTTCAAACTGCCCACTACATCGTCTTTGCAAACATCGCACTAAGTCCCATCACCGATCCATCACTTCACCGACAAATAAAGCCGTTAGAATGAAGGGGGAACGGAAGTGACGTATAGCTACCACTTACCAAAAATAAAGATTTTTGTATAAATATATACAGTGTTTGTCACGCCTTTGATTATGTAGTGGTTGATATTCGCGGATGGTTCATAGTTTAGCAATGAAACCCTCCAGCGCTTTGCCCCACTAATCATCATTCATTCCATGGATATGCTGTGAATTTTTACTGTTGGTGCAATATACAGGAAGCAAGAGAACGGCGAGAATTTTTTTTTCTTATTTTTGAACAACCACGTGGTTGTAAAAATTTTGCCTATGTCTTATTTTTGTTTCTACATAGCACTTCAGTAACAGATGACTAACTGAAAGAAGAAAAGTGTGTGATGCGCAGATGCCCCGCCCTAAACCCATCGCGAGCAGCATTTTACCAGGACAGTTCACCGTGACAGGCGGGCTTCGAGCAGTTGTCAACGGCGCCCGGTCCCTGCCGAAGATCAAGGCGAACCTGGTAATGAGTGAAGACAGTCGTACAAGCAGCAAGAAGAAGTTCATAGTCGCCGAGCGGATTTTGGGCACGGCGAACTGGTTCAAAGTCAAGAACGGCTACGGCTTCATCAATCGGAACGACACCGGGGAGGACATCTTAGTCCATCACACGGCGATCACGCGCAACAATCGGCAGACGTGGTGGCGCAAGCGAGAAAGTTGAGTTTGGCGTCGCAGTCGGCGACAGAAGCCTCGAAGCCGACAACATCACCGGACCTGATGGTGAGCCCGTGCAGGGCAGCCCCTACTCCGAAAACAAGCGCCCCCTTCAGACCCCGCCAGCTTTGACGGCATAACCAACGTAGGCGCAGGTCAGCGTCACAGAGTGGCGGCGAGGAAAATCAGCGTGAGGAAGACATTGACTCGACACCATCACCGCCACCCCATGAGCATCATTTTGCAGATGAACCTTGCTCGGCGCACGTCGAGGAAGATGCCTACGAAGGCCCTCCACCCCGGCGTCCTCCGCGCCGCCGCTTCCGTAGGTGATGCGGCCGCTCGACGGCTACACTGAACTGAAAGGGCAGAAGAGCCCTGGTGGCGTTTTTTTTTCGCGGGGGGGGGGGGGGGACTAAACACTGTTTTGCAGAAAAAGCTTGAAAATAAAGTCCTAAGTGCCGTGACATCGCAGTAACGTTTGTGATTGAGGTTACTTCGGCTACGTGGTTACTTCATCCATAGAAATGGAATAAAAAAGCATGACGAAGAAAGAGAAGAGTGTGAAAGTGGATTAGATTGTAATATATTTGATATGATCAGCCAACGAATAGGCTTAGAATGAAGAAGTGCGACCAAGAGTATAGATAGACTAGTATGTGCCCCTGTCGCACCATTGCTATTGTGTCCATTCTTGCGCTGGCCATATCCAATCGACAGGGAACAGGCCAGGTGTTTCATGCAGTAATACGCAGCAGACTATGCGAAAACCTGGTGGCACCTTTTTGACTGTTTTCTATTGTATAAGTAAGACACCACTTCGGCCGCACACTCTGACAAAAAAAAAAGCCAGGCATGCGTGGAGAGCGCAGCGCAGTCGGACAGCAAGCTGAAAGAGCACCATTTCTTAAAAAATTAAAAGCTCTCTTGTGGCTACCAATACATCTACGCTTGAAAAGTATCATCTGCTCAATAAAGCCTATATGTATTGTTTATGATTTCAGAAGCAACACTATGCCATTACTTTTGATTTCTGAGACAATCGATGTAGCCGCTAGGCGTTTGCAAGACATTACACATGCATTTTTTGATGCGATTGCAGATATTAAATTTCAGCTGAGTCCTTTTTACTAGGTGTGAAGCCTTTCACGACCGACTCGCTATGCACCTTCTACTGTGACGCACGGCGTTTCTGTATTCTTTTACCACGGTATATTACAGATATTCATGCGTTTCCTTCCCGACATATAGTCTAGGTATATGAGCGTGCTATGAGCGTAGCATGAAATCAAGATACATGACACGCACATTATGATTATCTTTTTCAAACTTGTCATTTACCTTCGTCGTTCATTCAAGTCTCGTTATACCACATTTGGTACCTGTGTAGCTAGCGAAACGGCCGCTAGTGCATATTGAGCATGGTATTTAGACATGATCTTATTAGACACACATATCATGGTTATCATGTTTGCACCAGTCATATACCTTCGACATTATTTCACGTCACGTAATACCAATTTTGATATACGTGAAGCTAGCGAAATGACCGCGAGTGCATCTTGAGCGTAGCGTGGTGTCATGCCTTACATGTCGGCCATACCATGATATATACGTTAAGGCCTGTTACATATCTGCGCCTTGCAGTTATGTCATACTATATTAGTTTTGCAATATGTCATGTGAACGAAAATACTGTAAAAGCAGCTATAACATGACTTTCATGTTATAAGTAGTCACTCATGCTCATCATTCATTCATGTTTAGCCATAGCAATTTTGGTATAGATTACAGTATCGGAACGGCTAGGGGAGCTAAAAGACATGGGTGGCTAGATAGATAGATAGATAGATAGATAGATAGATAGATAGATAGATAGATAGATAGATAGATAGATAGATAGATAGATAGATAGATAGATAGATAGATAGATAGATAGATAGATAGATAGATATGGTTAAAGTCGCTGAAGTTCACTAAGATATGCTTCACGTTTAAAAATTGTAGCGCCGCGTGCAACCTGTATTTAACGATTCATTCTCGAAGTGAGCTAGATATCGTTCCCTCTCATTTCGACAAAAGATGCCATAAACCCAAATCACCCCGTCATAAACACAAAGTTCACAGCCATTGGCTTATCTGTGCATGGTTAGCTTTGTATTTACCGTGGCTTCGCGGGATCACGCAACGTGATGACTGGCTCGTACGTGACGACACTGAAATATGCTAACCCTTCAAATCAAGAAAATGTTGCGCTAATATGGTCATGATGTCAATGTCGAACGGATGTAGTTCCTTGTAGTTTATAGCACCATTGTCATTCCTTCTCGCTGCGTAGCTTTCAGTGCGTTCGCGAGGAAAAAAGCAAAGAAAAAGCGCTTGAAGCCTGCGACACTGCAGTTCTTGCTAATCCGCACATACTTGACGGAATTTGAAACTTGTAGGGGCAGGCGATTCGTGAAGAGGTGAGCTTTTTTCAGTGAAGCCACTAGACTGTTACTTCAAAATATTGTCACAGAGGCCCTTAAGAGGGTATGGTTGGGTAAACTCCTCAAAATCAAATTTGCTATTTCAACCCCTAAAAATCCACTGTACTTTGAGAAAACAACATGGGGAAGTCCACTCTCGAGCGGTCGCTCCAAGCGGTTAAAATGCCGCACCAAAGTGCGCCCGCACCCTCTTGCGTAAGCAGTATGCGCACGTAAATCTTCGTTTTTCTCAAATTGCATTTTTTGTAAATGTTTCAAATTTAATGTACCTTTTCCCAACAAACTTTTAATCAATTTTGATGAAAATTTGTACGCGTGAGCTACATACAATATGTTAGGAAAAGTCTTAACCGAAAATTGACGATTACATAAAAGAGAAGTTGTAAAGATTTATACAACATTACTTAGCTTTCTTGGCGTTTTGCAAGCAGAATTTTGATTTTTTGTTATAAACATTTTATAAAAAACGTAGTTTTTTATTTCAGATGTTACTTAGGCGTCTCTACAACAACACAGCGAAATATGGTTACAATTCTTTAGGTTGTTGCAGAAAAAAGGTACATTGAATAAGTCTACCCCCTTTAAAATTTGGGAGTGGGCTATATGAAGTATAAGCAACCTAAGCATGAAAAATGGTGTCACTTGGTACCTAGTGGCATTTTTTTGTGTGAACGTAAATGTTATCTTTGTACTTGCTGCCTTTTCTGAGACATAACGGTAAACCTTACATACTTTTAATAGTTTTACATATACCATTTACCCTACCATACGCCATAAGGTTAAATAAAAGGTCGTCATTCTCGTTATCCAAATCTGGGTAAAAAAAGCTTTCAACTAATGTTTTTAACGCGATAATCGGAACAAAACTGAGTCGTTCATTTGCCTTGCTGAACAAGAAACTTGTACTGGACATCCTTGTTTCCAAAGTATAGGTACCAGCTATAAGACATGTAGAGTGATAGGCTTCCCTAATATCCATGGAAGCAAACGGTGATAGTAGTGTTCTTCTCCGCGTGATCCGTACATTAAATTGGAGACAGAGTTGTTCTTTGAAAAGTGTTCTGGAAAGGTTCACTCACTGGTAAGCATGGCATGTTAACGTAGACAGACATGATCAAAAATGAAGTGCTATAGAACTGCGGGTGTTGTAAAAAGATGGCGCTGGCAATAACAGAAAAGGGAAGCGCGAATATTTATAGATCGTCATATCATCAATGTAATCTACCTATACTGCAGAATAAAAGCCTCTTCCATATTCCACCGGTCAACTAGGTCGTGTGCATCGTGACATGCACACTGTCTAACCTGATACAGAATAACACATCGAAGCGATGAGCTAAAGAATTTTAGCAAAGCCAATTTCGCTAAAAAAGTGCCGAATACTTGCGTGCATCATAGTTTGCTACACATTGTTATAGCAAGCTGCAGATTCGAAATTTTGTTTTCCCTGTTCTATAGGGAATCCTCGGTTCCAGCTAAGGCCGATTTGCTGCACATTAATTACATTGAGCAATAATTATTTATCCAATGTGGTGGTAATGCATTTAGTATTGTACACTTAGTATTCAAGATATACCTTGCAATAGTTGGGGCACTACCAAGGAAAGAAAATCTTTTTTTAATTGCCTATTGGTGCTCGTGGGCAATGTCCCTGAGCTGAGAATTAAGATGGGTGCAAGTAATAAAATGAAGTTCAGAGCCACAAAAATTATTGAACATCTCCCCGAAGGAAACTATGATGGGATGCCAAGCAGCAGCAGTGTGCCCGTCTTTGACCCGGTTGGAACGGGCGCGTTGCAGGTGCTGGAAGAACGGGTTGAAGCGAAACTAGGTGTTTCATTCACTCGAGTAAACGTTTCTTTGAAACACAAAAACACGGTAGGTGGTTTGAGTTTGGTGTAAGCTTCATTGCAGATAAATGAGCCGAAAGAGAGTTAGCACTCGACGTGTGATCGAGTGTTCCAGGTGATAGGGAGGGTGAAGCGAGAGATAAATGTGTTGTTAGTGGGCGTAGGAGCAAAACCACCTAGGTGTGTTTTGGAGGAGCTGGCCGCTGATGCGAGTATGGGAAATACTGACGTCCACGTGCAGCTGGGACTACCTACTTGGCATCGTTCCAACAACTGCAGCGGGGGTGAGGGGGAACGCGGTGTGGCGCGTTGGTGTGGAGACATGGATGGAGAGTGTTAGACAGGTAATTGAAACAGCTACTTCGCATCTAACAAAACACATGAATTCTGCGTCAAATACAAGTGTCCTACCACAGAACCAGGCCGGTCTGCTTGAAGCTGAGGAAAAAGACACTGCACAGGCCTCTTGTCATGCGCCAAGTTTCTTTGAGCGATGAAATATTGCACGTATCAGACGCATAAAACCGCATTACGTGCTACACACTATGATGTGTGTAATGAGCAAGCTATGCAAAGCTGCCTGAACATTGCAAAGGCATTATCATTGTTTGAATAGCACCCCCACTTCGACTGCCCAGAGTATTAGAAACATGCGCATCAACGTAAGT